GGGATTCTACTCCTCACCCTCCCCGCTGTACCGGCCCCTTTAAGAGCCGGTTCCCATGACGTCACGCCCACGGCTACTTTGTAGCGCGGGGAGGGTGTGGCCTGCGCGCGCCCGGCGGAGCCGCGGGGTCTCTTAAAGAGGCCGCGCAGCGCATCAGGTAACGGGGGTCCCGGGCCGGGGGCTGCGAGGGGGGAGAGGGGAGGCTGTGTCCCGGCTGCTGATCTCAGCCAGATTCGGCCGCCCAGCGTCCTCYCGAGGCTGTTCGTGCCTCCCCGCCCCACCGGGGCTATCCCCGTGTCCCATCGTACCCCCGAGCTGTCCCCATGTCCCCTCTGAACTGTCACCATCGTCCCTTCGAACTGTCCCCGTGGCTCTCCTGGGTTGTCTGTGTCTCTCCCGGGCTGTCCACATGACTTCCCGGCTCGTCCGCCTCCCGGTGACTCCGCACCCCGCCCGGACCGGGGCTCCGTGCGGCCGAACTGGGTTGGGGGACGCGAAGTTAGAGGGCGCCGGGGCCAGGAGCTGTCGGTGCGGGGATTGCCGGGGTCGCGGGGTCCACCGAGCTCCCGGTTACAGAGATGCGGCGTGTTTGTCCTCGTGAGATGAGTGAGCACATTCCCACGCGAGTCCCCCTGGGAGGATCCAGGGATTCCGTGGTTGTTTTGTCCCGAAAAGAGCCGCCGCCCCCGCTAGGCTTGGGCTCCCCCGGACCGGCAGTTCAGCAGCACCAGCACCCTCCGGTCCCAGCGGATGGGGACACTCAGACCCTCCTGTCGCCCAATGTCACCCCCACCCACGCAGCTGCTTCTTCCTCCCCGTGTTACCCCATCTGACCCCGGTGCATCCCCGGAGGAATCCTGCCCCCGGACCCCACTCGTGTCCGGCCCCGCAGGCCGATTAGGCGGATTTCCCAGCTGGCATCCTAATCCCGCTGCCCCGTGCCCGCTTATCCCGCCTGCTCCCGGGACCCGGCTTAGCCTCGGGCGCGGGCGGGTGGCGCCGAGCGCGGGGCGGAGGGCGAGTTCGCGGCTCCCCCGGAGAAAAACGAAAGGCAAGGACGGGGTGGTGGTGTCCCAAGCTGGCGGTGTCCGCTGAGCCGCCCCGGAGCTCGGTTCTCCCGGGGAGCGGGGTGGGTGCACCGGGCGGAACGCTGCGGGTTGGGTCGTGCCGCCGCCGCCACCGCGGGCTCGTCACTCAGCCGCCTTGGCAGAGCTTGGCTGCCGGCCCTGGAGCTGCTGGCGCTGCTCCAGGGGTGGGTGARTTCCGAGAAACTGGCAGAGACGCGACTGCCAGGCGCGGGATCCCAGTGTCGCGCCTCGAGCCCGCTGCATCGGAGCAGTTCCGCTCCCGGGCTAATGAGAGCCCCGCTCGCATCCCTCTTGCGGGGAAACTGAGGCACGGGCAGRTCTCASCCTCGCCGGGGCTTGGAGCTACTCCTGGRGTGCTCGCTGTGCCCGGCGTGGGCTGTGAATCGTGCCCCTGGCTCCTGGACAGAGCTCGTGCCAAATTCTGGTGCTTTTGGTTTAGGAAAGAATGTGATTTGAGCCTTTAGCTCCGGAAAGAAGCTTTGCGGCAGGAATGCCGTCCGGCTCCTGCCAGCCCTCGAGCTCAGCCCTGTGCCCGGCGCTGTGCCCGGGCTGCGATAAGCCCCGAAGCAGAAGGAAGTGAGAGCCCAACCGTCGTCCTCAGCTTGCGGCTGCCCCCCTGCTCTCACCCGCAGGGCCCGCGCCCCCCGCCATGGCCGTGGGCACCCAGCTGGGACTGCTGCTCTGGAAGAATTTCACCTACCGCCGRCGGCAGCGGGTGAGCGGGCGATTGGGGTGGGGCCGCGCCGGTTCCTGGCACAGGGGCAGGCAGACCCCTGGGCATTGATGGGGACGGGGACCCCCACACTCTGCGTGTCTCCCCCAGATCCAGCTGGCTATCGAGATCCTGTGGCCCCTGTTCCTTTTCCTCATCCTGATCTCAGTGCGGCGATCCCACCCGCCCTTCAAGCAGCATGAGTGTGAGTGTCCCCCGCCGGACCCCCTGAGACCCCGCTGYGTGCCCCTGAACCGGAGCCCTTTGGGGTGACACCGAGGGGACAAACACGGGAGGCGGTCACGGGGTGGGGGTTCGCTGGTGTCTCCCTGCTCGTGTGTGTGGGGTTCTGGGGGTCCTGCACTGTCCCCCTGAACCCGCCCCCCTCTCCCACAGGCCACTTCCCCAACAAGGCGCTGCCCTCGGCGGGGACCCTGCCCTGGCTGCAGGGCATCATCTGCAACATGAACAACCCGTGCTTCCGGCACCCCACGGCGGGAGAGGCCCCTGGCGTGGTGGGCAACTTCGATGGCTCCATGTGAGCGGCGGGGCCGGGGGGCTGCGGGGCAGAGCGGGGCTGGGCCGGGGTCTCACTGCCCTCGCCKTGTCCCACAGCCTGTCCCGCCTGCTGACCGAAGCCCGCCAGGTCCTGCTCCGCGGCGATGGGCAGCGGCTCCTGCGCAGCTTCGCCCGGCTCCTGCCCGCCCTGCGCCGGCTCCGGGACAGCGCGAATCAGCGGCGGGGTGAGCACCGGGAGCGGGGGTTAACGGGGGAGCGAATCTCCTTGTCTGACTCCTGCTCCCYCCAGCTCTGCCGGTGAGGGAATACCTGAGAGAGGACGAGACCTTTTCGCGGTTCCTGCGGACCAACACATCCCTGCCCCCGGAGCTGGTGGACGAGCTGATGGTTGCTCGGCTCAGCCCCCGCATCGTGAGTGTCGGCTCGGTGCCCACTCCCGGTGCTCTCTCCCGGTGCCCGCGGTGCCCGTGACCGCTCTGTCCCTCCAGTTCTCCCTGGCGAGCATCCGCCTCCCGCTAAAAGCCCTGGTCTGCAACGCCTCGGTGCTGGGGGGCTTCCTGGAGGGGGATGACCCCGACTCCACCCGGAGCCTGCAGCAAGGACTCTGCGCGCTGCCCAGCTCCCAGCTCCGTGCCATGGAGGGCTCCTTCCTCTCCCAGATGGACTTCCCGCGGCTCCTGGCGGTGAGCCCCAGCCCGGCCGGGTGCTGGAAGGCACCGAGACAGAGATCCCTGTCCTCCCCGGCGGGGCTGTGACCTCCTTCCCCATGTCCCGTTGTAGGAACAGCTGAGCTCAGACCTGGGGGGAATCRCTGGCACCGTGGAAGCTTTGGGCAGCTTCCTGCGGGATGCGGCATCCCTGATGAAGGAGGTACAGCCCTCTCTGCCCCTTTCCCACCCCCACGGTGTCCCTGGGTGMCCCTGTCCCTCACTGGCTCATCCCATTCCCCCCAGGTCTCCTCCATGATCAGCCTGGCTGAGCTGCGGCGGGAATTAGAGAGATTGAGGGCTCCCAACATCAGCACCCCCAGCGCGGGTGCCTTCACAGCCCTGTCACGCATTGCCTGCGGACACCCCGAGGGTGGGGGGCTCAGGATCCCCTCCCTCAACTGGTACGAGGACAACGATGTCAAAGCCTTCCTGGACCGAAACAGCTCGGAGCAGAGATCTGTGGCCTCAGGCAGCAGCAGTAAGTGGGGGGCTGTGGGAGGCAGTGGGGGGCAATGGGGATTGGGGTATGGGGCTGGTGCTGAGGGCTCTGCACCCCCAGGTCCCTTCTGCCGGGAGCTGCTCCTCACCCTGGAGTCCAGCCCCCTGTCACAGATCTTCTGGCGGGGGATCAAACCCCTCTTCGTGGGGAAAATCCTGTACACACCCCCTGGGCCGGGTCCTGACAGCGTCATGGCCGAGGTGAGTGGGGGCTGTGGGGGCTGCGGGGGCTGGGGGAGAATTGGGGGTGTCTCATCCCAGACCTCTCTCCCCCTCCTCACACAGGTGAATCGGACCTTTCGGGAGCTGGCAGTGCTGGGAGAGTTTGGGGGAGCCTGGCAGGAGCTGGGACCCCGAATCTACACCCTCCTCAACAGCAGCCTGGAGATGCAGSTGCTCCAGGTGTGTGACCCCAGACTCCTCCCATCAGGAATGGGGCTGTGATGGGGGGCAATTGGCCAGGAGTGGGGTGGGATGCAGCTGGAGAGGGACAGGCTGCATGGTTTCCCATATCCCGGTGCTTTGCAGGACCTGCTGCTGGCCCCAAGCACGGCTC